AAAAATCAGAACATAAACACAGTTTAAAAACCAATAAAACACTTGGCTTAAATGTTACAATATTTGGCTGTGTCTTGACCTCTATAAATTAGGCTGGAGATTTTTTTAAAAAAATCTCTTCACAGACAATCTGTGAAATGTATTTGAAATGTGTTTGAAAGTTTCATTTTTCCAAGAACATTCAAGAAAGAAAGGTTTTGCTTCTGCAGTTTATCAACTGCTAACATATGTGTCTGACCTAGCCAACTGCCAGACAGTTTGAAATTGAGCTACTGTGAAGTAACCATTTTGATCTTAGCTCCAGATAGGCCACAAAGAAATGAAAGGAACTTCAACACTGCAGCTCTTGGTTTGCTAAGGTTCCCTGTGTATATTCATTAATCTCACCTTTTTCCTGTGAACTATTCAGGATGCAAGCAGGGATTTCTTAACTGAAAGTAATAAAGACATATTCTTTTAACTAGGAAACGATATAATCCTAGGAAGGCTATTGTCCCATTCCACACCCATGAAAGAGTGTTTTCTGTCTCTGTATTTTTGTAGATTCAAATTCACATCTTGAATAGGAAGTGCATCAATCTTTGTAGCAGTTTCCTTTCATATTTGATCACCACCAGTAGGCAATTAAAAAGCACCATTGTATTTCGGTATTATATAGAAAAGAGTTTAATACGGTGGACCCTCGACTTACAGACGGCTCGACTTACAGACTTTTCGAGTTACAGACTTCTCTGGCCACAAAATTTAGATTCGACTTGCAGCCAGAGAATTGACCTACGGACCAGAAAAAACCCAAAATGGAACAAAAATGGAACAAAAACGGCTGGTTACAGATTAATCGGTTTTCAATGCATTGTAGGTCAATGGAGACTCGACCTACAGACTTTTCGACCTGCAGCCACCGTTCCAATACGGATTAATTCCATAAGTAGAGGGTCTACTGTAAATGCTTACTCCGTAAGTAGAGGGTCCACTGTAAATGCTTATTAGCAGAAGTTCTGCAGATAGGTGAATGACCAAACAAAACCATATATTATGGGATGAGAGGTATCTTCTCCACTTGGTTTTAAAGGTGAAGAAGTTTATTTCTTAGAATTGCCAGTGACCCTGTATCAAACAATCACCACCAATATGAAACAGGAGATTGTCCTGCTGTTTGTAGTACATGAAGGGAGGTCAGATAAGTAACAACATTCATTATGTTTCACAAAGTTATCCATGTAGTTGGAAAAATGTTTAATAGCCCAAAGGAAATAAAATGAATTCTCTACACTCATGCTGACGTAATTAAACCAACAACATTTTCTCTGGTTCTGCCTAGCTTTTACTCTTGGCACACAGCGAAGCAAATGCAAACATTTTAAAATAGCAGAGTGGCCTTTGAACATATTCAGTCTTCCGTTTAAAGGAACCTGTTTCTCTCCAGTGTTGTGCTCTGAAAAGCCCAGTTGGTCTGAGGCAAAAACTAATTGTACACTTTTGTGGTAAGCAGGTGTCTATCCAGAAAGTTCCCGAATTCCTATCATTTTTAAAGTGAATGATTTCTGAGTTATTTACTAATAAATAACAATACACATGCAGCAGTTTATAGAAAGATGAAAAATGCACTTGAAATCATGGGAGAAGAAATGAATGCTGATGTTTCATTTGCTGACTTGCACATCTACAATGCAGCTTGCCTTGTAGCTTCCGTAGCTTGACAACACGTTCTCTGTTTTTATATGGGGGGCATCTTTTCATGTTTTAGTTATGTCTACATTTGATGGTTTCCTCGAAAGGGCTATCAGTTTTGAAGTCATGGTGTTGGTGGCAGGAGCTGACAAAAACTGAGTTCAACCCAAAATGTGTGGTGTTGCATTCTTCCATTATACCTACAGTAGATTGTTGTCCTTAAAGTTACAGCGAAACAGGCATTCCGAATAAACATGTGGTTTGTTTTTACTATTTGTTGGAAATATTCAGAAATCTCACCATAATGTGCTGATACGGTAAAGCAGTTACAGGAAGTTACTGCTCTCATTTTCTGAGTGAAAGACAAATAGGAAAGTTAACACCATGTAGCTGCTACTTGGTGCATGATATAAAGTAAGAGTAATAGCCTCCAAGGAATGCCTGACAATGAGAGGCTGCTATTCCTTTCCGCTTCTTTGAGTTTTATCTTCGTAGTGTTACATAGTCATTTATGAAACTGCCTTGTGCTGAATCAGACCGTTTTTATATCTAGCTGAGCATCTTTAATTCTGATCCATAGTAGCTCTCCTGGTTTTCTGGCAGCATTCTTTCCTAGCCCATCCCTGGTGATCTGCCAACATAGGATCATAGAATAATTGAGTTCGAAGGAGCCTATAAGGCCACCAATTCCCTGCTCAATGCAGGAATCCAGCAGATCTGACAAATGGTTGTCCAGATTTCTCTTAAATGACTCCAGTATTGGAGCACTCACCACCTCCCAAGGTAATTGGTTCCATTGTCATACTGCTCTAACAGTTAAGAGGTTTTTTTTTCCTGATATTCAGACTAAAACTGGCTTCCTGTAATTTGAGCCCATTATTACCTGTCCTGCACTCTGGAATGTTAGAGAATGGATCCATCCCCTCCTCTTTATGGACTGCCTTTCAGGTATTTGATCATCCTTGTTGCCCTCCTCTGAGCTGGCATCCTTCTTGAAGTGCAGTGTCCAGAACTGGACGCAGTACTCTAAATGAGGCCTAACCAGTGCTGAATAGAGGAGACTAGTACTTCATCAGATTTGGAGACCGTACTTCTGTTAATGCATCCTGAAATAGCATTTACCTTTTTTGCAGCCACATCTCACTGTTGGCTCATATTCAGCTTTTGATCTACAACAATTCCAAGTACTAATTACATCTGATGTGATTTGCTTCCAAAACTAAAGAAGATTGGATGTGTTCAGTCTGGTTCAGTGCTGTAGTGTTGTAACTGCTCGGTGATCTTCCTTGACGGAGTCAGAGTATCCTACACTAAGACTGTCTCCCTGAAAGGGATGCAGGAGGATAGGAAACAACTGGAGACTGAATGGAATCAGTCAAGATAATATGGCAGAGTTAGAATTCATTTCATAAAGAAAGCATGTTTTGCAAAAGCCAGACAAAATAAATTAAATGAAAATAAAAATAAATTGACAAGTTTTTGGACTTTTAAAGAATATACATTCATTACTTTCTGCTTAAGCACTTAAGCAATGTCAGCAACTTTGGAAAAAAAGGAAGATTCTCCCCCACAAATGGATGGTACTTTTGTGCAAGTTGCAGACTAGTATGACCTGCATACTGTCGATGTTGTGTAAAGCTCATGCAGCATTTGCTTCAGAGCCCAGTATGTTTAGTAATCCAGTCTCGATAATAAGTTACTCGTGTGTAGACTCCAGGCTTGTTTGGCTTAGCACACTCATCCCCCCAGCTCACTATGCCGACAAGATACCACATGTTTCTTATATCAGGTGTAACCAGCGGACCACCAGAGTCACCCTAGAGAGAATGGAAAAAACAAACAGATTTTGAGTATGAATAAAATCAATCTATCTATCAATCTATCAATCTATCAATCTATCAGTCTATCTATCAGTCTATCTATCAATCTATCAGTCTATCTATCAATCAATCAATCAATCAATCAATCAATCA